GTTTCTTGTGAAGTCGACATTTCTGTCCAGAAACTAGGACCAACGATTTTGAGATATTTCGTCCCCTATTCTACATAGACTCCATCCTTAATCTCTAACACCCCAGAGCCAGCACCACAAGCAGCAACACGGCCTGTCCCATACTCTCCAGGTCCCGTAGGGGGCGCATCCGCACCTCCGGTCATAGCACCTCTAGTCGCAGCACCCCCAGTGACAGCGTGACTAACACCAGCTCCCCGATGAATTGAACCTCTTGCAGACTCGGGCTCAGGTCCAAATCCAGCACCTCCCGCACCAGAACCTCGTGGAGGCACACTCTCAGCTCCAACTCCAACCCCTCCAGAGGTAGCACCTCCAAGGTCCACGCTATAGACACCAGCACCCTCAGGGTCTGCATTAGCCAAAGGAGGAAGTGTTAACGGCTGCTGCGGTGACTGTGAGGAGGACTGCGGAGAAGGGGACGAGACCTGAGCGGCTACCGGGGGGGTTGTACCTGAAGAGCCGGAGGGGGAGTGGGAGTCAGGAATAAAGGGAGGAGGAGTGAGGGGTGGCTCGCAGCCAACCCTCTACGCAAGGGGCGCAAGTTGGTGCAAGCGAAGGCGGCAGCGACCGCAAGACTCGCAGGAGGCCTAAGATGAGACGCTGACTAGCCATAGTGCGTAGGCGAGGAATGGACGGTTGACCGAGGCGGTGGTGGTACAGAACGGTGGGGTGGGCAAGCGATCGACACAAGCAAAACACAGCAACCGGACCAGACGCTAGAACCCTACCAGACGTAGCTACTTGGTGGGAGGCGGCAACCTGGTGAGACGCGCGGACCTGACGGGGGGCAGTGACAATGGTCGGAGGCAGCTGCCGCTGCTACTGCTGCTGCTGCTGCCTCTCTCGGGGACTAGTGTGAAGTGTGTAGAGACCAGAGCCCAGCTCAGCATGAAACGTGGCCACGGTCGCGTACGTGTCACTGTCTACACAGGTCGCAGTGTTCCCAGAAGGCTCAATCCAAACACCCACGTGATCGTCCACGAGCGGCCTCACACCCACCAAGTTTCTGGAGAACGAGGGGACGCGAAAGCCAGTCAGGAAACCCGAGGGAACAGCCGGACACGGAAGCGCAGTTGTGTAGCGAGCAGTGACTGGTCCCGAAGTGGGATCAGCCAGTGCTACAGAGACAGGCGCAGGAAGCGGAGTAAGCCTCGTGTGGTCGCATCGAAGCGTCCAAGGGGACGGCCAGGTGGGACGGCCAAGGGGACGCGGCTCGGCGCTGCGCAGGATAGGACGGGAAGCACGCGGAACGGGACGCGCGCAGGACAGGACGAGACGCGCGTGGGACGGGACGGGACGTGCGCGGGACAGGACTGGACGGAACGTGCGCGGGATGAGACTAGACGGGACGCGCGCGGCTCGGCGCTGCGCGGCAGGCAGGATGGGACGCGCGCGTCGCGGTGGACAGGCGCAACGCACGGACGGGACGGGGGGGGGGGGGGGGGGGGGGGGGGGGGAACGCGACGCGACGGGGAATGCGGGCCCGACGCGACCAGCAGGCGCAGCGAGCGCTAGGGAACAGTACGAGTGTGACTAACACTAGGGTACAGGACAGGCTCGGGCGGCCACGGGCGTGAGCGGGAGGAACGAAATGTTACAGGATCCGAACCTACTAGATGATACCATAGTAATTGTGGTTACAAGAACTGAATTGTGGTTTCACTAAGGTTGGTTGGGGTACATAAACCTAACCCTAACTGTTGTACCCCATATGACACACTTCACTAAAGTCTACAATATTTGACATCGAGGGGCAAAAACGTCTTTATGGAGGGTTGAAGGTTGTTGAGACCTAGATCTAACTCTAAAAAGAGTCTATGCCAACTCAAATTGAGATGATTGAGATTTTGAGGTTTGGGTTTTGGCGAGTGTTTTTTATTTCGTCAAATTCGTTTTTTTCGCCAAACCCATAAGGCCCCTCGATGTCTCCCTAGTGGGTGTGTTGGACTTCGGAAGTCCCAAATTGCACCTGCGGTACCTTTCAAAGCTTGAACAGGGCACTTCATCAAGTTTTAAAAACTTGACCCGCGCGGCCCGCAATTTAGGCCGCGGGCTTTAAGGGCTTGCTAAGAGATACCGTAAGATAGTACGGTAATGTGGGAATGCCTCCTTATTGCATAACTCCTTTTTGAATCTTGTCACAAACGATAAATGTGTACATGTAAATCAGAATCATCCATATTGCAAACCCCCCTCCCCCCTCCCCCTCTCCCCTCCCCCTACTAACACCCTCCCTCAAAACAAAGAGAGGCGAACAAATTTTGGAGCCTTTGGGGCATCTAAAAGGGGGATTACGGTACCATGCTTATTAGTACCTTTTTTTTTCATGAACACATCGCTAGCCATGTACTACATGAAAACATAAAATAGAGAAAAAAAAACGTAAAACAACCATTGTACAACAAAGAAAACAACAAACCCTAACAAGAAAATAACAAACCCACAAAAACAAAAAACAAAGACAGCCGTAACACAACAAAGATCTAAAGGCAAACGCAGTAAAGATCCATCCGAGCAGGTTACGTCTCTCGCACAGCATCCACTATAGGGTGACTGAAAAGGAATAGCCACATAGGTCAGCGTATTGACACCATGGCTCCAACTGCAGCTCCAATGGCCTTGGACACACTCGCCAGCGGAGAGGTGCTCACCCATAGGAGGCAGCCACACAAAGCTGCAATAAAAGAGGCACCAAATGGGAAGGATTGGAGATATGTATTGCTATAACACAAATGTCAACAGTTCATTGCAGTAAAGCATCGAAAACAACACACCCATAAAGGCACAAATGTGGCCAAACTTACACTATCATTGTCGCGCAGGGCATCACGGAAGGAGATCCAGGGATTGAGCCTGCAGAGGTCCACCATGGTGGCTCCATGGGATGCCGCCACCTGCTTGAAGTCGACACTGCTGCCGATCTGTATCACATTCTCACATCTCGGCCCGGCCTTGGCTGGGTCGCGCTCCACACAGAGAGCGCGGAACGCAAGGAGGGTTGAGGAGCAGCTAACACCGGGGTTGAACTGCTGTAGGCTTTCCTCGGTGATGTTGAGGAACTGAGCCACGGACGAGCATGTGTCGTCCTGTGGAAGCGGAAGTGAAGGAGAAAACGGTAGAAGGTGGGGTTTGAGAAGGGAAGAGGTGGGAAAAGGGGGTGAAAGTTGGTGCTAGCAACGCTTGGGGCCAAAATGGGACTCAGTGGCACACTGGTCTTCCAGCTGCTTGGGTGAAGGATGGTGAGGCAAAGAGTGAAGAGTGAAGAGGAAGCACAGCATGTGTCAGCACATGGTGGCACTGGTAGCATCCAAAATATCGAATACGTGATTGATTTGGATGCTCCAATAGCAGGAGCACCATGTGAGACTCACTGGCTGGACGTAGTAGAAGGCAGAGCAAGCTGGCAGAAGCTCTTTCACCTCGAGCTCGCTGCCTTGAGGAAGGAGAGCAGAGCAGTCGATACCCTGGAGGGGATGGGGCAGAGGGAGAGGGAGAGGGTGAGGGAGATGGAGACAGTGGAGCAGAGAGGATGAGAGAGGGAGAGGATGAGAGAGAGGTGAGGCGAGAGAGAGAGAGAGAGAGAGAGAGAGAGAGAGAGAGAGAGAGAGAGAGAGAGAGAGAGAGAGAGAGAGAGAGAGAGAGAGAGAGAGAGAGAGAGAGAAGATGAACGAGGTGAGGTAGAAAGAGATGGAGAGGGTGAGAGAGCAAGAGACAGCGAGACAGCAAGAGACGGTGAGAGAGCAAGAGAGGGTGAGAGAGCAAGAGAGAATGAGAGAACAAGAGAGGGCGAGAGATGTCGCACAGAAACAAGATCGGCTTGACATGCTTAAAGAATGCACACTCTTGCTTGAGAGCAAGTGGCAGGGCTCACCGGGTTCATGGCGATGAACTGCTGCAGCGTGAGGCCATACATGGTGTACACGTCCTTGCACCTCCAGTCGCTGCCTCGGACTGTGATCGACGAAATGGCTTCCCAACCCTGATCTGCACACGCTCCACAGGAAGAGTGATAATGCCACGGATGAGACATGGATCAGCCATGGATGATACGACTTTGCTATTCTCCATCACAGCAGCACATTTGATCCGGGAAACACATGTGTGAAGCGCTCGCAGTATGCACTACTGTGTGAAGCATTGCTAGCAGAGAGCGAGCTTACCACAGGAGCTGCCATAAGAGCGGTGGTTGGGCGGACAGACGCAGGTCCAGTCCTCGGTCTCGCGGTTGATGCATGTGCCCCCCCAACACGGTTGCACTCTGTCATAGCCACACACGCTCGCTGGCGAGGGACACACACAAGGGGCAGAGGACGGCAAACACAAGATTGGCAAAGAGGATACAATTGGGGGATCCGTGGGACAGGAAAGGGAAGAGAAGACGAGGAGCATCGCTGTTGCCAGTGCTTCCCAGGGGCACAAGGATGCCCGCCCAAACATAGCCCCCTCGCATGGGAACCAGATGGGTTTTGGTGAGAATGGATGGTGGCATGGCGAAACAAACAACCGCATTGAGGCTTACAGCTTGAACTCTCTTCGTCGGGGTACTCAGAAGAAGGTGGGTTGTCGCTGGCAGGTGGGGTGTCGCTGGCAGGTGGGGTGTCGCTGGCAGGTGGGGTGTCGCTGGCAGGTGGGGTGTCGCTGGCAGGTGGGGTGTCGCTGGCAGGTGGGGTGTCGCTGGCAGGTGGGGTGTCGCTGGCAGGAGCTGGTGCGTAATGAGCATCCACGCAAAGCTGCAATAAATGATGCACCAGTAGCAATGGAACACACCGGACTTAAGGAGTGGAATAAAAAGAATCTACACTGCATGCATGTAGATGGGGGCATGCCTCAATCCTAGTTTCGAACACATCAGGCACCTGGGAAATGGGGATCCATTCATATTACAGAATGTATCGACTTACAGATAGATTATGTACCCACCAGTAATCCATAACCAGAAATTACTCAGTAGTTTTTTTTCAACTTACACTATCAGTGTCGCCCCGGGAATCGTGGAAGGAGATCCAGGGGTTGAGCCTGCAGATGTCCACCATGGTGACTCCATTGGATGCCGCCACCTGCTTGAAGTCCACCACTTTGCCGATCTCTATCTCGTTCACACATCTCGGTCTGGCCTTGGCTGGGTCGCGCTCCACACAGAGAGCGCGGAACGCAGGGAGGCTAGAGGGGCAGCTAACACCAGTGTTGAGCTGCTGCAGGCTTTCCTCGGTGATGTTGAGAAACTGAGCCACGGACGAGCATGTGTCGTTCTGTGGGAGGGAAAGGAGAGGGGAAGGGGGGTGGAGAAGAAAAGAGGTGGTCAAAGGGGGTGAAAGAAGATGCAGCAACACAGTGGTAGTGGAACGCTGGGAAAGCTGAGGTGCAAAAAGGACCGAGTAGCACAACACATGCTACCGTGGAACGCTAACGTGGTCTACCTGCTGCTTGGGCGAAAGATGGTCAGGCGAAGAGTAAATGGTGACGAGCAACCACAACACATAGTGGCACATGGTGACACATGGTGGCACATCATGGGATGCTCCCACAACAGGAGCACGATGTGAGACTCACTGGCTGGACGTAGTAGAAGGCAGAGCAAGCTGGCAGAAGCTCTTTCACCTCGAGCTCGCTGGCCTGAGGAAGGAGAGCAGAGCAATCGATACCCTGGTGGGGAAGGGGCAGTGAGAGAGGGAGAGGGGGAGAAAGATGAGATGAGAGAGGAAGAGGGTGAGCGACTCTCGGAGGGTGAGGCGGAGGAAAGAGAGGGAATGGATGAGGCGGAGGGGGTACAGAATCAAAATTGGATCGAGATGCTCAATAAAGGCACATAGGCTTGCAGGAATTGAGGAGGCAGCAAGTGGCTTGGCTCACCGGGTTCATGGCAGTGAAATCTGAGACGTGCCACATGCTGTAGGCGTCTCAAAGCACCTCCAATCGGACCCACGTGGCTCACCGGGTTCATGGCGGTGAACTGCTGCAGCGTGAGGCCATACATGGTGTACACGTCCTTGCACCTCCAGGTGCTGCCTTCCACTGTGATGGACGAAACGCCCTCCCAACTCTGATCTGCCATTGTCCACTAAAACACCACCTTGAGTTTCAATGTGTGAACAAGAGTTTGCAGTATGGACCATTGTATGGAGCGTTGCCAAACAGAGGCCGAGCTTACTGCAGTGGCTGCCAAGAGAGCGGTGGTTGGGCAGACAGACGCAGGTCTTGCCCTCGGTGCCGCGGTCGATGCACGTGCCCCCCAGGCATGGGTTGACTCTGTCGTCGCCACAAAAGCCCACTGGCGGGGGAGAAACGCACGGAGGAGCAGGAGATGGCAAGCACTGAAGTGGCAAGGAGAATTCGATTGGGGGATCCGTGGGGCAAAAAAGGGCAGAGAAGGCGAGGAACCTCGCTGCTGCCAGTAGCCCATTGTGCTTCCCAGGGGCGCAAGCTATGCCAGCCCCAACAGAGCACCCTCGCATAGAACCAGACCAGTTTAAGCGAGAATGGATAATGGGATGGCGTACAACAGCATTGGTCTTACTGATTGAACTCTCTTCGTCGGGATACTCAGAAGAAGCTTTGGTGTCACCGGGAGTAGCTGTGGTGGGAGTAGCTGAGGTGGGAGTAGCTGGGGTGGGAGTAGCTGGGGTGGGAGTAGCTGTGGTGGGAGTAGCTGGGGTGGGAGTAGCTGGGGTGGGAGTAGCTGTGGTGGGAGTAGCTTGGGTATCTCTAGAAGGTGGGTTGTCGCTGGGAGGTGTGGTGTCGCTGGAATTAGCTGTAGTGTCAGCTGTAGTGTCAGCTGTAGTGTCAGCTGTAGTGTCAGCTGTAGTGTCAGCTGTAGTGTCAGCTGTAGTGTCAGCTGTGGTGTCAGCTGTGGTGTCAGCTGTGGTGTCAGCTGTGGTGTCAGCTGTGGTGTCGCTGGGAGGAGCTGGGGCGTATTGAGCAGCCATGCAAAGCTGCAAAAAACGATGCACCAGTTGCAAAGGAACACACCGGAATCAAGGACTGGAATCATAAGCAGCTACAAAGCATGCTGCATGAATGTAGATGGGGGCATGCCTCAATCTTAGTTTCAAACACATTAGGCACAATGAGGATTAATTTAAATTACAAAATGCATCGACTTAAAAAGAATAGAATATGTATCCACCAGTAATGCACAACTTGCAACGACTCAGTCGTTTGCGTTCAACTTACACTATCAGTGTCGCCCCGGGAATCGTGGAAGGAGATCCAGGGGTTGAGCCTGCAGAGGTCCACCATGGTGACTCCATTGGATGCCGCCACCTGCTTGAAGTCCACCACTTTGCCGATCTCTATCTCGTTCACACATCTCGGTCTGGCCTTGGCTGGGTCGCGCTCCACACAGAGAGCGCGGAACGCGGGGAGGCTAGAGGGGCAGCTAACACCAGTGTTGAGCTGCTGCAGGCTGTCCTCGGTGATGCCGAGAAAGTCAGCCACGGACGAGCATGTGTCATCCTGTGGGAGGGAAAGGAACGAGAAAGGGGGTTTGAAGAGGAAAGAGGTGGTCACAGGGGGTGAAGGAAGACGCAGCAACACAGAGGTAGTGCACCGCTGGGAGCTCTACAGTGCAAAAAGGACCAAGTAGCACGTGGTCTTCCTTCTCATTGGGCTAAAGATGTGCAGGGTGAAGGGAAACACAGCACATGTCAGCACATAGTGGCACTGGTAGCATCCCCATTATCGCATTCATGGGATGCTCCCATAGCAGGAGCAACATGTGAGACTCACCGGCTGGACGTAGTAGAAGGCAGAGCAAGCTGGCAGAAGCTCTTTCACCTCGAGCTCGCTGCCTTGAGGAAGGAGAGCAGAGCAGTCGATACCCTGGAGGGGATGGGGCAGCGAGAGAGGGAGAGGGGGAGGGTGAGGGTGAGGGAAATGGAGACAGTGGAGCAGATGGAGGGAGAGAGGGTGAGAGATGAAGAGGGTGAGAGAGGAAGAAGGTGAGAGAGGAAAAAGGTGAGAGAGGAAGAAGGTGAGAGGAAGAAGGTGAGAGGAAGAAGGTGAGAGAGGAAGAAGGTGAGAGAGGAAGAAGGTGAGAGAGGAAGAGGGTGAGCAAGAACGAGGGTGAGCGAGAGGTGAGGTAGACAGAGAGGGAGAGAGTGAGAGAGCAAGAGAGGGCGAGAAAGCAAGAGAGGATGGAAGAGAGCGGAAGGGAGATATGGCACAGAAAAAAAGACAGCTTGACATGCTCATTAAGGGCTTGCAAGAATTGAGATGGCTCGGCTTGGCGCAGCATGTGGCTTGGCTCACCGGGTTCATGGCGGTGAACTGCTGCAGCGTGAGGCCATACATGGTGTACACGTCTTTGCACCTCCAGGTGCTGCCTTCCACTGTGATGGACGAAACGCCCTCCCAACTCTGATCTGCCATTGTCCAATAAAACACCACCTTGAGTTTCAATGTGTGAACAAGAGTTTGCAGTATGGACCATTGTATGGAGCGTTGCCAAACAGAGGCAGAGCTTACTGCAGTGGCTGCCAAGAGAGAGGTGGTTGGGCAGACAGACGCAGGTCTTGCCCTCGGTGCCGCGGTCGATGCACGTGCCCCCCAGGCATGGGTTGACTCTGTCGTCGCCACAAAAGCCCGCTGGTGGGGGACACACGCAAGGAGGAGCAGAATATGGCAAGCACTGAAGTGGCAAGGAGAATTCGATTGGGGAACCCGTGGGCAAGAAAGGGCAGAGAAGGCAAGGATCCTCGCTGTTGCCAGTAGCCCATGGTGCTTCCCAGGGGCGCAAGCAATGCCAGCCCCAACATAGCCCCCTCGCGAGAATGGATGGTGGGATGGCGAACAGCAGCATTGGGGCTTACTGATTGAACTCTCTTCGTCAGGGTACTCAGGAGCAGCTGCGCTCTGGGCGGCACCAATGATGCAGCGGGCGGACCTGATTCCATTGTGGAGAGGCCTGGATCTGCACGGGGAGGCACCATGAGAGCAACGTCGCTGGTCAGGTGGGGGGTGAAGGAATGGCGTTTCGAGCACGGTAGCAGACAGTTGGAGAACGAAGGGCTCACGTCTGCTGGCCTTGCGCGAGAGTGTCCAGCACCCTCCCCTTGCACGTGGGACTCGGGAAGAACTGAATCGCCGTGCAATCCGCCTTGCCTTCCTGCTGCCACCACACCTGCAGCTTCCTCGTCCCGCCGCCAGGTGGAATGGCGACACAGCGGCTCGGATCATCGAAGGAGAAAGAGGGGCCAATCGACATTTTCGTGCCAACCTCTTGGTCATCCCCGCTGGTGGACGGCTGCAGCCTGCGACGGCTGAAAGAGAGGCTGCTGATCGTCATCTGCGTGCCCACCAGCACTTGGGCCTCCACGCTCGTCGCCTCTGCGAGAATGGGAGCACAAAAGATGCGAGGGACATGTCAATGCGCGGCGGTCAATGTGTGGCGGTCAATGCGCGGTCAGCGCAGTGCGACTTGCGCAGGTGCAAGGATGGCGACGCGAGCATGGGTACATGAGTGCATGACCAGATCATGTGGCGCGTGATGCGGGCGTACCAGCGATGACGGCCATGATGGCGAGTAGCGCAAAAAATGCGGCTTTGCCCTTCCCCATGCTGCTGCTTCCAGCGGACGCCTTCGCCCTCTGAGCGGCCGCGTGTTGGAGCAGACGCTGGTGGCTCGATAGCTGGGAGAGACAACACCACGATTGGCGACTGGACGGCACGAGTGGACGGAGCGGCAAACGGGATAGGTGACAGAAAGCAGACGCCGCAGGGCGTTTGGTGCTAACTGGTACAACTGAGGTGATGAGGACGATCGCCTGGAGATGTTATAGGCGGTAGCGCGACTATTGTTGGATTCTGACAGCAGTTTCAGTGTGACTCGCGGAATGCGCGAAGCGGGACCTCTGTGACGGGAGATTCGCACCATCCCCCTCACGGGCGCGACGCCTTGCGCCGTGATCATCGCTGAGAAAGTCGAGCTGAGAACGCGTTCCGTGGCGGTGGCTAAGGCTCCGTAGGGTGCGGGCGGATGGTGTGGTGCAGTTGACGCAGGAACAGCTTCTGGCTCGAGGGAATGAATCGCGTCACGTGGGGGAGAATCAATTTTTTTTTCGCGCGATACCCTCAGGTTGATTCCGGTGCGCAATAGTCTAAGCCGGTACATTCCGAAAACTGTTGTGAAACGCGATCATTGACTGGGTCAAGTACTTCAGAACAAAAACTGGCATTATTGATGGAAATTGGAATACTCCACAAATTGCTAATTTAAGATGATGAATATATCATATTCACACACACACACACACACACACACACACACACACACACACACACACACACACACACACACACACACACACACAACACCGTAATCTCCCGGATATAGAAGCGTAGGAGACTTTCCTATAATATAACAAAGAACTTACCCTGATTTCAGGGTGATTACAGGCTGCTCACCTGATGGTCTCTGCTGTTACGAATAGTAATATTTGATATTACTGTGCACTTCTCACCGCAGCAAAAGAAGCAGAAAATATCGGGATTGAACGCGAACCGTCAGACAGTTGGAATCGAACCGAAGAGTCAGACGGTTACAGCACATCTGGACCGTCGGAGCAGACAGCATCGGGCAGCTTCAGGCAGGATGGTTTTGGCGGGAACAGTTACGAAACTGTACGCGCCGCACGGTTGGGAATGAATTTGAATAAGGGAATGTACCCCTTAGAGTACATGGCTAGTTAGGTCGTTTCGTATTCCCTTGTACTCATATTTATATTTCTTGTATTTGCATGTTTTATTTTCATCTCAAAGCATCTTACATTCACTCTGCTATTGAGGTCAAGGGCCCACCAAACTATCTCACTGCGTGCGAACCTTCCCGGGTAGATCCTGGGCTACGATCAACTTCTGATCGCAGCATGGTATGAGAGCGGCTCGGGAATCCTTCGCACTGCCACTCCCGAAAATTGCGACATTCGGAAAGTGGCGTCCGGCACACGCTCACGAGTGAAGATGGCCGGAGGATCTGGTGGTCAGACCAATCTGACGGCTGAAGCGCAACCCAACCCGGCTGCGACAAGCGAGAACACGACGACAATCGGCTCCGAAGTTCTCGCACAACTTCTTCAGCGACTCACCAGCTTGGAGCAAGGGCTCCAAACATTGCGGAACGGCGATGCGGGAACATCCTCGCAACCCACTCAACCGGCCCCGACTGGCCAGAACGCCACCCCGCAAACATTCTCCCTCGACACCAATGGCTCAACCCCCAAGACTCCCCGTCCCAGTGAAGAGGCAATTCTCTCTGCGCAATCAAGGTTTCTCAGCATATCAAAAATAAAGACAAGTACCTGTTTTGACAGCAGAAACTTTTATACCTGGAGCTTCGAGTTGGAGCTCCTGCTGCAGAACGCGCGAATCTTCCATTATTTTGACGGGAGCTACGCGGAGCCCGCTGAGGACACCGACGACGCCAAGGCGAGGTATTACGACGAATCGTTGATGGCGTACGGGGTGCTCCTGCGGAATATGTCGCCGGCGGAGCAGCTCAACATTCGTTCTTACAAGACCTCGGCTGCTCCAGCCCTCAACGCCTGGCGGCACCTGACAGGAGTCTATCAGCCCAAGGACTCTGTCTCCTCGAGCCGACTACTCCAGGAACTCCTGGAAACCAAGATGATCGCAGGGGAGAAGGTCAACAACTATCTCAATCGCTGTCGGAGCCTTCGCGACCAAATCGTGAAGCTGGGAAGCACGATTTCAGAGGAAATCTTCGTCAACATCGTGCTTCAAGGGCTCGGCGGCCCTGCAAGGCGCTTCTCCGACAACAGAGGGTCATCTCGGAGGCCGCCCTTTGCGCCGCCCTTCTCGTCGAACAGAGGGATATGGATCAGCAGCGACCAGCGCCGCGACGAGAACGCGAACGGCTCGCCTTCTACGCCGACAACACTGAAGAGCGAAAGCCACGGCGCCTCTACTGCAAAATCTGCAGAAATTTCGGGCATCTGGCGGATCGATGCAAGAACCGATCCCGCCCTCGCCAGACCAATCCGAGCACCTGGTCCGGCCGTCAAGACGCACGAGGCGACGTGCGTCCAGCCCAGGGGTATCAGCCCCCTCCCGCGCGCAACCTGAACCCAGCGGTTCAGCATCAGCAGCAGCAGCCGTCATCGACTGCCCCAGTTCGCAACGTCATGAGCAACATGGCCATGACCGGCGAGTCGCGTCGTCGCCGTGTACGCTCACCCTCACCTGAGCCTGCCCTGCTCCCCATTGGCGCATTCACCAACAACAATCCGTTCAGTCCGCGCCACGATTTCACCGACGACGACGACCAAGACTGGAATCTTCCAGTCCCGCTGCTTGAAAGTCCCCCGCACGTACCTGATATGCGGGTGGCGCCACTTGATTGGCTCTCGCGCGAGCAATTTTTTAAATTCGACACTCCGCACATCGTCACGCCGCGACTGGCGCTGCTCGCACGTGACGACAACAAGCGCTACAACACCTGGTACCTGGACAGCTGCTGCGGCCAGCATATGGTGGGGTCCGAGCGTTACATATCCAACGCCATCCCCACTCCTACCGTCACTTATGTCACTGTGGCGAACAACACGCGCCTGCGCGCAAGCGCGCAAGGCATCGTCGTGCTCAAAGCACGCGGGAGCCGCACGCACATCACGCTCAACGATGTGCTGATCGTCCAGAACCTGCACTTCAAACTCCTGTCCGCCGCACAGCTCATGGATTGCGGCGTCGACCTCAGCACGGACCGCGCGACGCGAGATATCCTGCTGCACTATGAGGCGCGCAACTTCCCCCGCAGGCAGATCGGACGAGCACACTCCGAAAATGGGGTGTACGTCCTGGACTTCGATATTCCCGACTGCAGCGGCGACTCGCACGAGCTCATTGACCTCGTGCCACTGCGCTTTGAGCACATCCACCGCAGGGATTGGAAGCACCCTGACGGCAAGCCGTGGGTGCCACATCATCCCCACCCACGTGAAACGGCGCTTCACAACCCCGATCTCGATGGAATCTGCAGGGATTGTCACACGCCGACAACCTCAACGAGCGCGATCGCAGGCCGCGGACTCGCCGCCATCGCTGAAGCAGAGCGCAACGCGCCACCTGAGGAAGGCATGTCACAGCTCGAACTTGAAGTTGCTACCCACGGCGTTTTCGGGACCAAGGAGCATCCCCTCATCGGTCCCCCTTCACAGCACTTGCAAGGCATGCTGCGTGAAATAGGGGTCGGGACGATCGATGCCCTTGGCGAGCCGCGCCCCTACACCTACGAGAAGTTCCTGGAGGACTACTCGACTCAGCGCGACCCGAAGAAGAAGCTTACCGTGGAGCAAGAAGAAGAACTGGCGCGCCGCGAAGCCGAGGAGCTTCGTCAGCAAAGTCTAGCGGAAGCCCGCGGGACCTTCGCTTGCACTGCTTGGGGAGCTGAAGAGGAAGCGAGCGCCTCCAATGAAGGGGGGTGGGGAAGCGCTGGAGGATGGGGAACAAGTGACACCAGCGGCTGGAGAGACAACGGCGGAACCTGGGCCAACGCGAGCGGCGGATGGGGCGCCGCATCTGGCGCCGACAAAAGCGGCTGGGGCACTTTCCGCGAAGAGCAATGGGGGGAAGAGGAAGAAGCCGCGGAAACCGAAGCAGCACCTGCAGTCGTTCCTCTCGGTCGTCCCCCGCGCCACATCCCGCTCGCACCACCTCCTGCAGACATTCCCCCGCATCGCGACCCGTGGGACACCATTATCTAGGGCAACGAGCCATCAACCCCGCGTCGCATCGTCTACGGACCGGCCCATGAGCCACGCGAACCTACGCTCGTCCCTGGAACCATCCCTGGGACTAACATCCCGCTCTCTGAAATTCGCGACAGAGAGTTCTTGGCGCTGATGCTGACTACCGCGGCAGAAGAAGAAGAAGTAGAAGAAGTAGCAGCAGAACCTGCTCCTGTACCTGACGAAGACCCTGAGGAAGCGCGCGCGCGCTATATGCGCACCTCCGGCTTTCGCGCTGATGATGCACTCTGGCACCAGCGCCTCGGACACCCTTCCCGCGCGACGCTGAAAAACTGCATCGACGCTGGCGTCTTCGCTCCTGGCGCACTCCTGCGCCCTGATGGCTCCGAAGTGAGTGGCGCGACACATCCGCGCAACTGCACCGTCTGCCCTGAAGCTGCGCTGAGCCACCAACCGTTCCCGCTGCTCGAACCTGGAACCAACCGCTACCCCAAGCTGCACAAGGTGTACAGCGATTTCCTGAACGTGGGGCATTGCGGAGTCGAGGACGAGCTATACACTCTCACCTTCATCGACGCTGGAACGCGCTACGTGTGGGTCGTAAACGTGGAGTCACGTGACAGAGCCTACAAGGTGTTTCGCCTCTGGCTGCCGCACGCGGAGCGGCAATCTGGAAAGAAGCTCAAGATTTGGCAGTCTGACGGCGCGGCAGAATTCAGGAGCAATCAGATGCAGACATTCCTGACGCAAAAGGGGATCGAGCATCACATCTCCCTCCCCTACGCGCACCAGCAGCAGGGCGTAGCTGAGCGAACGAACCGCACGCTGATGACGAAGGTGCGCGCGCTGATGAA